CGTTTGCGGACCCAAAAGTCCTTAGGACGAATTTTTGGGGACGAATTGTCCGGATCCCCTTTTCTCGCAGTGTTGTCGAATATTTATAGGCATGGTTGCTTCTAGGGAGTGTACGTCATCGATGAACCCGTGGATTGGACCTTCCCTAACGTGCCTGTCTTCCCTTACGGTCACTACCTTGCCACCATGACAGGCGGAAGAGTAAACACCAAGATTATCACAATGTGCAATCAAGTTGAAATGCGTATTATTCCGAAGATCCAGTAGTGGTTTCTCGAGGTCCCGCTTCAATGAGGCGTTAATGGTGATGCTAAGTTATGAAATACACTGACTCAAGATTCTGCCATTGACGAGGTTAATTATTTTCCGCTTTTCCGAAACGATTTGGCGAAAGACACGTGAAAACCATCCATTGTCGGCTGAGCGATAGCGAGCCTCGTTACTCCAGTGGGGTTGAAAAGCAGTGAAAAGATTTGTGTGCGTGCGTACGTGTATGTGTGTGCACTACTCCTTCTGAACGGCGCGGCCAATCCGGGTGAAGCAGGCTCCTTGGCTCGCCACACTCCACAATGTCACTGGTTTTCGGACAAAGGGGTGTGAATCCACGAATAAAAATATGTGAGTATGTGATGAAAACCTCCCTGCATCTGAGCCATCACTGTTATTCCACTTGCGATACAGACCACACTTTGTGCGCAATACAAATTTAATCGCACTTTTCTGTGATGATCATTGCAAAAAGGTGTCATGAGCTACAGTATCGCAGAATTTTGCAATGATCATTGCAAAAAACTGTAATGATTCCAGGTTTTGTGTTGTCATGATCGCAGTTTTTGGCCCGTCCCGTTTATTTTTTGTAAAAAAATGACGGAGGGACGGGCATATAGTATGATGCGTGCTGTGCGTCCGTTCGTTCGTTCGTTCGTTCGTCCGTTCGTTCGTCCGAGGACTTCCCCTGGTCCGATCTTGACCAAATTTGGTATGCAGCCTCCTTGGGTGACCCTAAGAACCGCCCGGTGGCAGCAAATCCGATCCGAGCCCCGGGGGCGCTGCTACAGGTGCATCATGGTCTACATGGGGTCAAGGAGGATTTCGGCAACGGATACAGCTAGGAGGGCATGTAGGGGTATTTTTGGAATCGGGGCGACGAGACAAAACCAACGGTGCCAGTTTCAAGCGAATCGGAGAAGTTTGGACCCGGGTTCGAATCCCAGTAGGGTATATTTTGAACATTCTTTTTATTCGAGTTTTTGCATTGTCTCTAATGTTTTTGAGGGCGCTGATGACGAAAATAACATCTATTTTGACCTCAGACTCAGGTTCAAACCCGTCAGGGTTGAACAAATGCGAAATTCGCACATTTGTTAATGTACGGGACGGGCCAAAGTTGCCGATGTATATCGCTACTTTTCCTGTTATTTGCAATAATTCCGATTTTCATTGCAGAAAGTTGCGATGATCATTGCAGAATTTTCTGCGATACGGAAGTCATTGCATCTCAGGAGCAATGATTCGTGGGAATCACATGTTGGATATCATCGCACGTTTTTGTGTTGAAAGTATCACAACTTGGATAACAGTGATGCTAAGTAGACAGGTTCGCAGTGTAGAGAGCTCTGGACCGGAACTTTCACTTTTTTCAACGCATGCTTGGCCAAGCATGCACTTACAAACGCATGCGTGGCCAGGCATGCACTTACAAATGCATATGCGTAGCATGGAGTCATATGGCCCCAAGCATGCAGTTGTAAGTGCATGCTTGGCCAAGCATGCGTTTGTAAGTGTGTATTTGCAAGCATGCATTTGTAAGTGCACGGTAAGTAGACAGTTAGGTTTGCAGTGTAGTCGAAATTTTGTCTTTTTCACTGTCAAACCTTCCTCAACTCGTTGCAAAACCCTACTATTCCGAACGTTTCGTGACGTTAAGGGGGGACCCTGGTGAAAAAATGGCCAAAACTGCCCAAAATAGTTGGCTGAGCGATAGCGAAGCCTGTTACTCCAGTGGGGTTGAAAAATTTTTCCTGTCTGTCTGTCTGTCTGTCTGTCTGTCTGTCTGTCTGTCTGCGTGTGTGTGTACACTACTCCTCCTGAACGGCTCGGCCGATCTGGCTGAGATTTTGCAGGCTTATTAGGTATGTTCTTGGCTCGGCACACGCGAAATTTCACCATCCTAGCTCAACTGGTTCAGTTTTTATAGCCGAAAAACACCTAAAAAACGGCGAAAAATCGAGTTTTCTGCAGGTAGATCACCTCTGTCTTGAAGAAAGGGGGGTCTGGGGGGCGGAGCCCCCCAGCTTCGTCAAGTAAAAAAGTGACAAGGGTCAAGATCGTGTTATCTGTAGATGAAGCAACTCTATCTTGAATTAAGGGGGGTCTGGGGGGCGGAGCCCCCCAGCATGCAACACGTAAGAAGTAACCGACGATGGACAAGCCAATGCCTGCCGAAGGCAGGCTAGCGCCGCAGGCCAAGGTAGGTACGCCAGGCGCGGATTGGAGGAACAGGCCGCGAGACATCGCGAAGCCTGTTACGACAAGACGCGGTCTGGCGTAAACCTACCTTGTATTTTTAAAGTTCATAGACAAAAATGTGTATGGAAGGTTTCAGATTCACCAGGTTGAACACCTTCAAACTATGTAGGTAGTTCCTTCATAATTTGCAAAGAAATAACATTGAGATCAGTTGCAGGGGCGTGTGCAGAACGTTTTACTGGGGGGGGGGGGCTATTGCCTAACTTGCAGGGGAGTGTACCTCAAATTGCCTACCCTCCAGGCGCGCAACACCATTTGCCTGTCTTTAGGGGCTCAAACAGTGATTATTTATTGACGTTTTAGCCTAAACTCAACCGCGCTCAACCACCTGCTGTGTTTGGCAGCAAACTTAGCAACCAAACATCAGTATCTGGCAGTGCAGTTAAGTCTGCAGCGTCAGTAACCCTTCGGTTTGACGAAATAGTCGCCACCACTCTGAACAGATAAACATTGTTCTCTCTAGGCCTGCACGGACCGGACCCCCCCCCCCCTATTAACCAAAACTCCTCGGATCTGGACGTTTCGTAAGGGGGTCTCGGATCGAACTGGGGGGGGGGCTGAGCCCCCCTTGAGCCCCCCCGAAGACACGCCCCTGATCAGTTGTCGATGGCTTATACGCTCAACTTCCCAGCTTTGCTCAGTCGACAAAAAATTTTGTCGTAGAAAGACTTTCTGCGTTCCTGGTTGACACCTACATAGTCGTCTTGCATGGACTCTATTCATTGATGACTTTTCGACAAATTTTAGTGACGGTATCTTGATATCAGCCCTACATTTTTGGCTGAGCGATAGCGAAGCCTGTTACTCCAGTGTGGTTGGAAAGTTTTGTCTGTCTGTGTCTGTGTGTGTGTACACTACTCCTCCTGAACGGCTCGGCCGATCTGGCTGAGATTTTGCAGGCTTATAAGGTATGTTCTTGGCTCGGCGCACGCGAAATTTCGCCATCCTAGCTCAACTGGTTCAGTTTTTATAGCCGAAAAACACGGCGAAAAATCGAGTTTTCTGCAGGCAGATCAGTAGTATAGTGTACTCCACGGTATACGGAGGGTACTTCAAAGTATCCCGGGTACAAATGTGGTGGGGGTAAACCCCGCGAAAAAAGCAACCCTGGCTCCCCGGCGCTGCGCGGCCCGGCCTAGCCCCGGCCCGGCCCGCCTCGCGCCGCGTTAAGCCACGCCGCGACCGGCCTAGGGAACTCTCCGAATAAAGATCACTCACCCTAGCTCATGTGGACGACGAGCGATGGGAAGGAGCTGCCGACCGGCCTTATCCACCGAAGAAAGGTGACGTTCAGCCCCAGTGAGCGAAACGTAGTCATCTCCTCAGTGACAAACGCGCCAACAGCATCACCACTCTGCAACTCCGCGTGCCGCGTCACAACAACCTGCGGCTGGCCCGGCTCAACTCGTCGCGTCGTCACCGCGGCCTCAAACGAACTACGCGATACCTCACGCACCTCGAGCTCCACGGTCAGCGGCATCTCGAGCGCAACTGAGGGCCCGCTGGAAGGGCCGCACCCGCTATCGCCTTACGGCCGTGAGCGGGCTGTCGCAAACTGCCAAATAAAACGATGCGAATCGCCAGCCCACCGGCCCCACTGACACCACGAGCCGCTGCGGCAGTGTGAAAGCAATGCAACAGGGAAATCCATAAGCTTGTCCACGGCCGGCTGCATGCCGCGCTGTTAACAACACCGCCAAAGCCTCGTGCCGACACCTGCCGTCCGTCAAACCTATTGAAAGCATGCCTCATCGCGAATGTCAAATGAAACAGCGCGATCGCATCGGCGGCCCGCTATGTTCAACTCCAGAATGGTGACATTTGGGCACTGGCGGCGGGGTGTGCGGGTGGTGCGAAAAGCAGTGCGACAGGGAAATCCATAAGTTTGTCCGCGGCGCCTGCATGCCGCCCTGTTAACAACACCGCCAAAGACTCATGCCGACACCTGCCATCCGTCAAACCTATTGAAAGCATGCCTCATCGCGAAATGTCAAATGAAACACCGCGATCGCATCGGCGGCCCTCTGACATGACACGTGAAATCGGCACGACGCTGGTGGGGGTTCTCTCTTCTCTATTTTCTACTTAAGACTGGCGAGGCAAAGTCGCAGTTGTGTCCGGCACCTCGAGCAGTGCGAACCTCAGCACCCTCACCGTCGGCTAGTCTTGCCCCGCGCCGCGTAGTGTAGCCCAGTGCGAGCCAGTGTGACCAAGTGTGACTTCAGTGTTCCCCAGTGTGACTACACTCCAAATCCAGGGTGTCTAGAAACTATACGCCTTAGGCGTATGCCACAGAAATGGAACTGCCTTAAGGCGCCTTGATTCTACACGCCAAAGGCGTATACCCCATTGAGCACCTTTTGCAGATAGAAGTTAGCATGTGAGCACCATTGGTCGAAGGAAAGGTGCGTGCATTGTACACACCCTGGATCATAGGCACTGAGCTCAACAGGACTCAAGGTGCGTAGAATGGCACAAGGCATGACCAGGTTGGTGTTATTTCCTTGTTTCTCCTGGTCTTTGTCTCTTATCTGTACTTATGTATGCTTTGGTATGTTTCAGTTATCTAAGTCAACACTGTGGCGAAGAGGTTCTTATGGGCAGCAAATTGGTGCAGATCCAGAATGTGAGAATGAGACAATGGATCCTGAATGTGAGAATGAGACAACGGATCCTGAATGTGAGAATGAGACAATTCAGTCTCATTGTCAAGCTCAACACGAAGACCTGGATCAGCATGTAGAAGACAACAAGAACAACGCCCCCTCAGAGTCATCTCACTCCGAACGCAGTGATGTGGATACAACTTCCAGCAGTGTTTTGACAGACTCTGATAGTGAGCATGTTGAAAGTGATGATAGTGATCAATTAGAGAGTGAAAGTGAGAGTGAAAGTAGTCATGAGAGTGAAAGTAGCGACAACAATGATTTCTCTGAGTCTGGCAGTGACGATGAATATGAAGTGTATGCTGGGTGTGAATTTAGTGTTGATGAGGCTGTACTTGATTCATTAAACGGCGAATATTGATAACCGAGAAACCAAAAAAAGACTGTCAGATCATCTCAAAGTATTTTTTAAATATCTACCAAAGAACAATAACATGCCAAAAAATTTAACTCAGTTACTAAATTATGTTGAACAACTTGTGCCACCATTCAAAGAGATCTCTTACCCTTATTGTGCCAATTGTTTTTTACTACTTGACAATGAAGGTGCTTGTGAAGCATGTGGTGGTGCTGATAGACATTATTTTTACATGTATTCTTTAGTTGAGCAAATTAAGTACTTGTTTGAAGAACGCAAATTATATGAAGTTTTAGAAAAGAATGAAAATAGACAATCAACTGATGGAGTGATACGAGATATCATTGATGGTTCTCAGTACCTAAAAGTGAAATTAACCGATAAGTACAGCATCACTTTGCTTCTTAATGCAGATGGGGTGGCTATTTCAGGGTCTTCCAAGACAAAACTGTGGCCTGTAATGGGGGTAATTTGTGAGGTCCCTCCTCACTTGAGGAAGAAGTATATGATTGTATGAGGAATTTGGTGTGACACTGTTGATGCACCAATCAATACACTATTTCAACCTGTTGTGAACACTTTAATTGACATAGATAAAATTGGTGGAGTGCAGTGGACTCATCCTGTTTCTCAGATTGTGCATCGGTCAAGTGTTACAGCACCTGTAATTTGTGCTGATGCTCCTGCAAGAGATAAACTTCAGAATATCATTGGGCACTGTGGTAATCAGGGATGTAACACATGTGAGCAACATATGGATTTAATACCTCTCTCCGCTCAGGAAAAGAGAGTGAAAGCTGCTGGAGCTAAAGTAAAGCGCAAGAGAGGTTACTTTTACAAAGATGTGCCAGCTAAGCTAAGATCAGACACATCCATGCGTCAACAAGCTAAGCAGGCTTTCCGTTCAAAGAAATGTGTTCAGGGTGTGAAAGGACCCACTATCATTTCATGCATTCCTAGGTTAGACTTATCAAAATGTGTTTATGCAGAGTACATGCATGGAGTATGTTTAGGTGTAGCAAAGCATTTCCTCACTCTGTGGTTGACAGTTAAAGGTCCATGGAATGTGCCAGACCGCGTCTTGTCGTAACAGGCTTCGCGATGTCTCGCTGCCTGTTCCTCCAATCCACGCCTGGCGTACCTACCTTGGCCTGCGGCGCTAGCCTGCCTGCGGCAGGCAATGGCTTGTCCGTTGTCGGTTATTTTTTAACTTGTTGAATGCTGGGGGGCTCCGCCCCCCAGACCCCCCTACATTCTAAATAGAGTTGTTTTATCTACAGATAACACGATCTTGACCCTTGTCACTTTTTAACTTGCCAAGGCTGGGGGGCTCCGCCCCCCAGACCCCCCTTTCTCCAAGACAGAAGTGGTCTACCTGCAGAGATCTCTATTTTTCGCCGTTTTTTAGGTGTTTTTCGCCTATAAAAACTGAACCAGTTGAGCTAGGATGGTGAAATTTCGCGTGTGCCGAGCCAAGGACATACCCAAGAAGTGTGCAAAATCTCACCAAAATCGGCCGAGCCGTTCAGGAGGAGTAGTGCGAACAGACAGACAGACAGACAGACCGACAGACAGACAAAACTTTTCAACCCCACTGGAGTAACAGGCTTCGCTATCGCTCAGCCAATAACAGGAAAAGTAGCGATATACATCGGCTACTTGGGCCCGTCCCGTACATTAAGAAACGTACGAATTTGGCCTATGTTTGACCCTGACGGGAATTAAGCCTGAGTCTGGGGTTAAAACAAGGTAGGTTTACGCCAGACCGCGTCTTAGACCGGGAAAGATTGCTGATAATTGCATGTCGAGAGGCGATTTGTGCTACAAACTGGCAACAGGCGGTTCTAGACTAATTCGACCCCGCTGAAAACGATGCGCCCTGTTGCCAAGCTCGATTTTTGAATTTAAGCCCCTAAATTCAAGATGGCGTCCAAAATGGCCGCCACAAAGCTTGTTTTTCTAAAATATCGAGGTACGCACAAGTGTCGCTGTATTATTTTTACAGTTTAGGGGTAAAATAATATAAGGTACATATTGTGAAACCATTTCCAACCATCTGCACATTTTTCAGGGGCCCAAATGCCTAGATGGCGTACGAAAACGTCAAAATACACCAAATATCCGTGTTTTGAAACGGTTTTCTCCTCCTTTTGCTCGTGATTCACGTCCAATGGCAGTTCTTTTCAATTCTCGTAAATTTCCACGCTTTGGGAATATAAGTGGTCTAATGTGGAAGGGTTTAGTTGCTAAGATGGCGTCCGAAAACGTCCATAAGTACGAAATATTGCTGTTTTCCCGGGTCATTTGCCTCATTTCGTTCGGGTTTCGTGTTCGATGTCAGTACTCATTACCCTTTGTACATAGTAAATGGCAGTTCTTGTCAATCTTCGTAAATTTCCACCTTGTAAGTATAACTATACTGGAGTAGGGACTAGGACGGCCCTGGACGCCGACTCGCGACCTGGCGAAGCTAACTCCTCCGCCAATTTGCAATAAATCTGGAATCCGAACTCACCGATGGCTTCCCCAAGGTCCGGGTTGCCCCACTTGTCCTACCATTTATTTGTCCTACCATTTTTTAAATAATATAAAAATTATTTTAAATAGTGTCTTAAAAATAATCATTTCAATTGTCCTACCATTTTTTTAGTCTTGATGTTCGTTTGTCCTACCTGGGTGCATGATTAAAATAATTCAACTAAAAAAAATCGACTAAAAAAAGTTGACTAAAAAAAGTCGACTGAAAAAAGTCGACTAAAAAAAGTCGACTAACATCCGAAAAATGTAATGTTAGGGGGCGGACTAAATAGATGGAGAGGCGAGACGGAAGTGGGCAAGGGGGAGGAGTGGAAAGGGATAAACTGATGGAGAATGCCGGTCAGAGAAACTAGAAAGTGGGGAATCAGAGAGAATGATTCAGGTGAGAGAGAGAGAGAGGGAGGGGGAGAGGGAGAGAGAGAGAGAGAGAGAGAGAGAGAGAGAGAGAGGGGGGGGGGGGGGGAGCGCAACGCTTCTGGAACCCGCGAACAGCGCACTGAGTAGCCTAGTACGTTTCTTTGAAATGTTCAAGGTTTTGAACTACCATCCTTGTAGTGCACGCTGAAAACCTTTCGAAGTATTTTGAGCATACCTAATACAAACTAATGTACTTTGTTACACGAAGAAATAGTTCGTAAATTCCGAAGTTTTCCTTTGAAAGCTTATGTATGCTTATGTATGTATGCAAGACACCTCGCTCGTCGGGGGGCTAGCTGACTACCATGCCCGCGATTTATTACGCTCAACTCCGGGCGCATCTCTGTAGCGCCTGCTGACATCGGGGTAGGCAATTCAACGAGCACGGCAGCGCGCGGCTGCCTACCCAACAGGCGCGAACATGTCAAGCAAGACCGCAGTTGATGGGTTGCAATTTGCGGCCCAGCACCGCCATGTCTCCAATTGCAAAATGTGACAGGCCGTTCGAACAAAGGGCTTGCGGACGGGCTCTCATCGTGCTTGCAGCGGGCATGCATCGTGCCCTGGCGCCGTGCACTCCGTGAGCAACCATCTACTAAATGGCACCAGAATGTGGCTGAGAGTCTGTTGCGTCGTGGTCGGGGTCGGGACTGCACCCTCGCGTGTTAGATTACTGCGCTGCCCTTGCCACTTGGCGATTTTGCGTTTTGCATTCTGCTTGCACGCTTGGAGCTCTGGACGTCTGGAAGAGCCTCTCCCCGGCGGCACTTCTGCCCTCCGGCGGCCCAGTAGCCTCGCTAGGTGATTGTTTATCGTCGCTTTTCTGCACTGCAGCCCGCCTCGGCAGAGTGCGTGAAGCCGGCCGGTTGCGCGTTCCCCGCGCCTCACCGCGCTGCCCGCCTTCGTGCAATGCGCCGTGCTGGCCTCGTGCTCTGCCCGCCTCGGCAGAGTGCGTGAACCCGGGCCCGGGTTTGCGCTTTCCCCCGCGCCTCACCGCGCTGCCCGCCTTCGTGCAATGCGCCGTGCTGGCCTCGTGCTCTGCCCGCCTCGGCAGAGTGCGTGAAGCCGGCCGGTTGCGCGTTCCCCGCGCCTCACCGCGCTGCCCGCCTTCGTGCAATGCGCCGTGCTGGCCTCGTGCTCTGCCCGCCTCGGCAGAGTGCGTGAAGCCGGCCGGTTGCGCGTTCCCCGCGCCTCACCGCGCTGCCCGCCTTCGTGCAATGCGCCGTGCTGGCCTCGTGCTCTGCCCGCCTCGGCAGAGTGCGTGAACCCGGGCCCGGGTTGCGCTTTCCCCCCGCGCCTCACCGCGCTGCCCGCCTTCGTGCAATGCGCCGTGCTGGCCTCGTGCTCTGCCCGCCTCGGCAGAGTGCGTGAAGCCCCCGGGTTGCGCGTTCCCCGCGCCTCACCGCGCTGCCCGCCTTCGTGCAATGCGCCGTGCTGGCCTCGTGCTCTGCCCGCCTCGGCAGAGTGCGTGAAGCCGGCCGGTTGCGCGTTCCCCGCGCCTCACCGCGCTGCCCGCCTTCGTGCAATGCGCCGTGCTGGCCTCGTGCTCTGCCCGCCTCGGCAGAGTGCGTGAAGCCGGCCGGTTGCGCGTTCCCCGCGCCTCACCGCGCTGCCCGCCTTCGTGCAATGCGCCGTGCTGGCCTCGTGCTCGGGGGCGCCTTGATTCCTCCACAAGAAATCGCTCCAAAGTGGTTTGGACGAAAAGTCTGACGTCAACAAGAGTACGTCCAAAATTTTGGAGCAGTTTTGCGCGTACCAGTAAACACGTCCACAACTTGGAGGTGTCTTGCATTGTGTCTCTTGATGCGGGAAACACATCCACGGCTCTACACGAAATTCTATCCACGCACTGTTGGTTGTGGAGGCAAATAACATGTGTACGCCCGGTCCGAAAACTCATCCACGGTACCTTAGCGATTTTACCTCCAAAGTCGCAGGGTGCGTTGCCCAATACCCTTACTGGTCGCCTCCAGTACTTCTACTAGAAACACGTCTAAAGATGATTAGAGGAAAATATGCCTCTACGGCATTTTACCTTTTTAGCCGTTGCCTAGGAGGGTGCA